ATGGGAAGAGAGCATTCTCTGCTGCAGCCCCTGTCCTACTCCTCTTCTTTACCTTCCATGTTGTTGTTGTTGTGCCTTCCATGCAAGCCTCCTCCCTCCCACCCAAACCCACCAGGCTGCCTCCCCGTGTCCTCCATCTCTGCTGTCACTTCTCAGATTGACTCTACACAGAAGACTTGCGGCTGCAGATCTAGAGCAAGCAACTGCTGGCAACCTGATGGGCTAAGGGCGAGGAAAATGCTCAAGCTTAGCAGGAAAGCAGCAGGGAAAAGCCCTTAATCCAAACCCTGGGGAGGCAGGAGACTGTCCCAGTTCAGCCAAAGATCTGAGACGGCCAAGATACCCACTGTCTCTTGGCCAGCAAACCCAGATGGGTTTGCAGCAGGGCAGCTCAGCCCCCCCGAGACCTCTCCAGGGCAGCACAAGCTGCTATCGGTTGAACTGAAATCCCCTGCTGCCCCTGACAACACAGCACAGCAAAGCCTGACAGATCGATGGTGGTGAACGGCAGAGAGCTAGAAAGCAAGGCTAGGTGGGTGCTGGGATTTCTGTGACTGCCCAAGGCCCAAGAAGTCATTACTCATCATGGCAGCTTGACCAACTGACAGCATCCCAGGGCAAAATGATCAGTCACATTTAGGAGCCTGGCGCTGGACTCCCAAGGCCCCTGGGCAGGAACCAGGGCATGGGCAAAGCCAGGGGAGGGAGAGACCTGGGTTAGGCTGACCTAACCCCTGGCTTGGGCTGGCAGTTCAGCTCTGGGGTGCTGGTGGAAGCTCAGATGGAGGGCACAGGGAGAATCTGCACATCTCCAGCTTCGTAAGACCTACTGCCAAAGTTGTCTGTCGACCAGGTATGTTCAAAGAGTGCCATGGGGAACGCCTGCCAGGCACCAGCCCACACCATCTACAGTCACGAGAGCTAAATTAACGCTCGAGCACTTGGGCACTTGCGCTCACAATGCCTCCAGTGAGCTGCATGCCGCGCTCCTCATAAACAAGTCATCTGGAAAATAAGTAAGCGTGTAAAAATCCAGCCCATCACAAGTTACCAAACCTGTTTCAGAGTAAAACAACCTACAGCAGCTCACGCCAGGAGCCTGGCAGTGGAGCTGACCCCAGCCTCCCCAGCACTGGGGCTCTCTAGGTCCCAGCAAAACATCCCTGGCACAGACGGCAGCATGGGGATGCAGCCTGGGACTTGTTTCAAACAGGAAGGTATCTCTGGCGTCAGGGTCGTCTAGCAAAGAAAAACTGGTGGTATTTTCCCTCTAGAGACCTAGAGCTTTTGAACCGCAGAAGCAATCAGCTGGGGCAGGCAGGAAAAGCGCACGGGCCATCTCTGCACTGGGGCTGGTGGCCAACACTGGCAAAAGACCAGAGTTTCTGGTACAGACTTAGAATTCATCTCTTCCTGTGCTCCTACCAAGTGCTCACCTCTCCTCTCTCCCATACTTTAGAAAGCACCTGAGCTGGGCTTACCTGGGGGGCTGCCAAGAAAGAAAGCCCAAACCCACCAAGGAGCAGATGGGCCCAGCAGCCCAGTCCCTGTCTGTCACCCTGGATTTGCCAAATGGGCACTGCTCCTACATGCCCGCAGAAGGATCCCCAATGTTTTCCCACAGGTCTCAGCACCACAACACGCTTCCTCCCTCTTAGCGTTCGAAATCACTGGAGGTCTTCAGAATGTGGAGGGATTTTCTCCCGATTTCCCAAAAATGCGCTGCAAGCTAGGTCAGAGGGAAATCTACCTCCATCCCCCGAAACAAAACGGAAGCAGGAGCAGAGCCTCTACCCAAGTCCCTTCCCACTGGTGGCACCTCCAGCTGAGGACAGGCAGCTGGGACATCCCCAAGCAAGCTCTGATGTACCTGGCCTCAATCAACTGTGCCCCACACAAAGATTGGGCAAACACAGTAATACCCCGCAAGTGAGTCCCCTCCTTTGGCTGCTGCCTTCTGATCTGTGCTCCAATCCCAGCAATGTATTTTTCCCCTTTTTGGATGGAAAAAAATAATAAATAAGCAATGCATCAGCCTCACACTGGAGCAACTTTCTTTTTCAACCTTGGAAGCAGGTTCCCCTGTGCCGGGGGAACGGCAGGTTCCCCCATGCAGGCAGGAGGCACGTGGCTGGGGCAGCAAAGGCAAAGATGGAAGAAAAAACGTTTCATTTTGAGACCTTGACACAAACGAAACAACAAGAAGCAAAAAAAAAAAAAGAGGGTGGGTTGTTGGCTCCCCCCCCACCCCCCTTCTTTAAGCGCTACAAAAACAGGAAACAAAGGAGAAAACATCTCACAGGGGGGAAGGGGAGGTAAGTGCTTTATACGCCCACGAAAGAAAGATTAACCACATATTTTATTTACTGTTTGTATTACGGTTGCACCATGGAGTTCAACCATCCGAGCCAGGGCTCTGCGGGTTTGAGCAGCACCTAATGCCAAGTGGTCCCCTTCCTCCAAACCCATCAAGCGCGTGCCTCCGCTTCAAGCGAGCCCTCCACAGACACCCACCTCTGGCTTCTTTCGCCCAGCACAAGCTCCCTTGCCCCAGTTGCCAGCTGAGAAAGTGCTGATGCTGTCCCCAAGGAGTTTTGAGCCCCTTTTCCCCTTCAAATCGGACTGTAACCAGGGGTAAGATGCCCTCCAAGGTGGGCTGGCAGCAAAGCCAGAGTAATAAATGCTAAAAAAGGTGAGTTTATGGAGAGCGTGTTTGCAGGCTCCCATCCCTCCTCCGGACTATGGAGGCCACCCCTGCCACACCGGGTCAATGTCGCACGCCCCCACACTCCAAGTCCCCCGCACCAAGGACAGGGCTCCGAGCCTCCAAACTTTGACTCACTTCTCAATTAACGGCTTCCCGAATGCGAGCCACGCGTGGAACAAACCTCTCATGACGGGGCCTCCCCCAGACCTCCCAAGCCTGGCATTACTCATCCGCCCCCCAGCCCCAGCCCTCCTTTCCCGGGATGCTCCAACAGCGGCTCACCACCGCAGGGTGAGCAAGCAGCCAGGAATCCCGGGCCCGGCTCCCGCAGGCGGGAAGCCGTCACTGGCTGAGCGCATGCACCCTAATTCGGGAGCCGAGGTGGCCACCTTCCTTGCTGGCTGGCAAGGGGCGGCTTTCAGCCGGAGACCTGCCCAAGGCCACGCAGCAAGGGCCGGCAACCTGCCGGGCGTTTTTCCCAGGCGCTCTTCCCTACTCCAGCTGGTTCACAGAGGAACTGCTTCAACTGCAGGGGGGATCCTTCGGGCATGCCATCCCCCAGCTTTGGGCTGTCCTCCATTGCCCCAGCCTCCGAGCACCCAACCAAGCCACGCGCCCAGCGGGAAGAGACAAGCTTATCATCACAGAGAAAGGAAATTAAGATAACATGGCGATGGAGGTACCGAGGGATTTGGCCAAGGTCATAAAATAAGTCTGCAGCTCTACAATACAGCCACCCGACACATTCGGTGGCTGGCCACATACCCTAAAATTTCAAGCCAGGGCCGAAATCCAGCCTAGCTGGTGGCAGCTTTCTGCCAGGTCATTAGCAGCGTGCATCCGCAAGGAGCAGCTAACATCCAGCCATAACAACGGCAGCAACAACAAAAAAAACCACGCAGCGAGAGCGGGAATAGATGAGATCAAAGTGTCCTGGAAAAGGACCTGGAAAAATAGTTTTGGTCCCTGGCTAAGGCTCCCAGGAAATGCACATGCGAGCCCTGTCCCAGTCCCGCGCAGCCCTCCCGGGATGGCTCCCCACCCTGGCAGAGGGAGACCAAAATGACTCCCTATAAATAGAAGCAGAAAAGCGCTTCTCCAAAAGCCTGGCTGGGTCTTTCCCCTTCCAGCGCGTGTGGCGGAGCTGCTGGCACCTCCACAGAGGTCTCTGGTTTTCCCCCAAAAAGCCTGGAGAGGAAAATAACCTTCCTGTGAGCTCAGGCTGGCTCCTCGCTGCACAGAGCCGCCCCCCCCCCCCCCCCCCGGCCCGGCCACCCAATTGGAAAGTAATTATACTGCAATTTTTATTTATGACTTTTTTTTTTTAATTGCTAAATGGTGACTCATTTTGGCAACATTAAAATACACAGGAAATCATCCCCATTTTACAGTAATCACCATTCAATTCATTGTTAAATATTTATTCGGCGGACAAGCGCCGGGCCTCTTTTGAAAGGTCGGAGGAGGAGCGGAGGGGCAGCCCTGGGAGGGGGGTAAGGTGGTGGTGGGGTCACGGCGGGGCTGCCC